TTCAAAGAAAAACCAGAAAGTCCAGTTGACTCTTGGAAAAAAAGCACCTTTGGGACAACCATGACCTGGATGGCTGAAAATCTCCATAGACATTTAGCCCATTCCCTTGTCAAGCAGTACCTGTCATTAGTACGTTTTAATTATAAGGAAGTAGTGGACTTGATAGGTGGACAAAATTGCCAAATCCAGTCTGAACATCTGGCTGACTGTGTGATGAACTGAAATAATATATTAAATTTATATGCTGTCCAACACCTAGCAATTTCAGGTAAGATAAATTATTTTTCCTACTTTAAAGGTTGCACCTGTTTAGGACACAATATGGACCAGGTGCACATGGCATATTTCCCCATCATTTTCAATCTTCAGACAGTCATAAAATCCATCCAGAGATTGGCTTTAGGTTTCCCAGATTCTGTACATTCAGTGTAAAAATCGAGAGTGAAATAGCAAGAGGGAACTCCTTCTAGTTATTACCGAGACTGAACATAAACGACTCTGCTCTTAATAATAAGCAGGATTAATAATTATTATAAATAATAATTATTTATAATTATTGATTTATTTTAATTTCTTAAAATGTATTGATTTATGTGCTTATTAATTTTATTTAATTCATGTAATTTTATTTATTTCATTTAATTTATTTCATACAGTTATTTATTTATTTTGTTTATAATTATAATTATTAATTATAATTATTAATTAATAAATAATAAATTAATAAATCGTTAGGGACATAGTGGGTCGGTGGCTAAGACGCTGAGCTTGTCGATCAGAAAGGTCGGTGGTTCAGTTCTCTAGCACCGCATAACTTGTCTTAGCTTCTGCCATCCTAGCAGCTCGAAAGCATGTAAAAATGCAAGTAGAAAAATAGGGACCACTTTGGTGGGAAAGCAACAGCGTTCCGTGCCCCTTTGGCGTTTAGCCATGCTGGTCACATGACCATGGAGACGTCTTTGGACAGCACTGGCTCTTCGGCTTGGAAACAGCGATGAACACTGCCCCCTAGAGCCAGAAATGAGTAGCATGTATGTGCGAGGGGAACCTTTACCTTTAATAATAAGCTGGAAAGAAACCTCAGAAGGCCCCAAGAAGAACCCACTTCCACCCATCCACCCACCCTAAAAAACTCTCCGAAAATATTTATTTCAGATGTAAAGGACAAAAATTATTTGTTTCAGCTGTACAGGTAGTCATCGACTTATGACCACAATTGAGAGCCCAAAATTTCTGTTGCTAAGCGAGACAGTTGTGAAGTGAATTTTGCCCCATTTTCCAATTTTTTTTTTTGCCACTGCTGTTGAGTGAATCACTGCAGTGGTTAAGTTAGTAACATGGTTGTAAAATAAATCTGGCTTCCCCGTTGACTTTGCTTGTCAGAAGGTCACAAAAAGGGATCATGTGATCCCAGGATATTGCAACCATCATAAATATGATTTAGCTGCCAATCGGTTGAATTCTGATCGCGTGACCGTGGGAATGCTGCAATGGTTGTGTGAAAAATGTCTTTTTTTCACTGCTATTGTAACTTTGAACTGTTACTAAACAAATGATTGTAAATCAAGGTGTCAACTCGTAAAACATTCCTATGCCTGATTTTGAGTTGCATTAAACAAGGGGGAGGAAGAAATCTGAAGGAGAGTACGGCAGTTTAAAACCAGAAGTACATTCCATGCTTATCTTACAAAGATTGTAGCTAGGCTACCGGATCTTCTGCCAGCAAAAATCCTTCCTTGGAGAATGTGATTGATGACATCCAGCCCATGCTTCATTGGATAATCTTTTTATTTTTCTTATATGTATCCATTTCATGGATAAGTATAAGTGTATTTATACTTATACCTGTTATCTTATAACCACTTGAGAAAATAAATAAATAAATAAATAAATAAATAAATATAAATCTATTTTATGAAACACCCAGAGGGGAGGGGGGAATGGGATCACAGGTGGCTGTAAATTACGTATGCCAGAGTTGACTGCATTTAGGTTAATGCCGACGTGTTGCTCCTAATAAATCTTTTGGATTCTTTTGAAGCTTGGCTCGAGGCTCATGATTTAATGAGGGCAATCGTCGGAACCTTGACACGAGAACCACCTTTGTTGATGAGCGAACAAAACATGTGAAGATTTTAAAAACTGGCAGAAGGAGCCAATCAAAGTACTGAGCCAATTTTCCTGCATCTTGGGCTACTCATTAAACCAGTGGCCAACATCCACCTGAATGATTTGCAAAAGTGAGTTTGGCTCCTACCTGTGTCATCTTTTGATCCGTAAAGGATGATAAAGACATTGGAGTCTGTCCCGGCATTTTTCTTGTCTCCTGTTTTCACCCTGACTGTGAATGTAGTTGAATTAGCTGTTTAAAAAATAAATAAATCTCTGTTTGGGAAAGGCCATTTCTGAGGTAGTCCGAATTTAGTTCCCTTTTTGTTTCACATTTACAACTTTGTTTTTAATGAAACAAGAAAGACAGACATTTCATCGCCCGACTAAGCAACACCATCAGTGCTAGAAGTGAGTAGGGTTTGTGAAATTGGAGGAAGAAGCGGAGGAGGAGGAGGAGGAAAAGAAGGACAAGGGGAGGAGGAGCCGGACTGTGGGCTCCTTGGTGCTCTCTGAGCTTGGTGGTTTTCTGGCAAATGTTTAATCACCCAAACTAGGTCTTTGTAATCAGCTAGTACTGATGATGTTACCTAGGTGGGTCATGAAACGTCTGCAAGTAAATCATCAAGTTCAGAGAATGCCAAGGACCCCACAGTCCTGCTCTTCCCCTTCTCCTTCTTTTCCTGCTCCTCCTCCACCTCCTCCTCCAACTTCACAGACCCTCTCACTTCTAGCACTGATGATGTTACTTAGCCAGGTTATGAAACATCTGAAAGAAAACAATCAAGCTCAGAGAGCACCAAGGACGCCACAGTTCTCCTCCTTCTCCCATTCTCCTCCTCCTCCTCCTCCTCCTCTTTGTTCTAAAATCACCACACTCCCAAACCACAAATGATGGTTTATTCAAGTTTGTGCTACTCCATAGTCTCCGTTTCTTCTACATCATACAAATGGACAGTAGCCAACCTTTCTGTTCCAAGCCCAGGGTTGCAATAGAACCTGCGTTCTCCGAATCCTTCATCACAAATGCTTCAGCCACTGGGACAAGCTCCCTGGCAATCTGACCGTCATCTTCTTCCACTGCCAACCACCTCTGGCAGGGGAAATAATACCTGCAAGGATAATACGGTTTAGCATCAGCCCGCTCCCTGTTGAGGAGAAACAGGCCCATTTCAGCACAAGCATCACCTTTCATCAGAATTACGTCTGCCTTCCATAGAAGACTTTGCAGATTGCGCAGGTCAGAAGGAGGGCTGAAAAGATACAGTGTCTGCAGACCCTTCACATCCTGGACACAAACTGTTTCCACTCCATTCCTCAGGACAGTGCTAAGGGGCACTCCATTCCATTCCATTCCATTCCATGTTTTCTATTCCATTCCATTTCATCCCAATCCATCCTTCTCCTCTCCTCTCCCCTCTCCTCCCCTTCCATTTCTATTAATTCTTATTCCATTCATTCTTATTCCATTCCATTTCATTCCATCCCATCCCATCCCAATACATCCTTGTCTTCTCCTCTTCTGTCCCCTCCCCTCCCCTCCCCTTCCCTCTCCCATCTTCTTCCCTACCATTTCTATTCATTCTTATTCTATTCATTATCATTCCATTCTATTCATTCTTATTCTATTCTATTCTATTCTATTCTATTCTATTCTATTCCATTCCATATATTCTATTCTATTCCATTCTGTTCTGTTCCTTTCCATTCCATTCCATTCATTCTTATTCCATTCCATATTTTCTACTCTATTTTCCATTCCATTCCATATTTTCTATCCTATCCTATCCTATCCTATCCTATCCTATCCTATCCTATCCTATCCTATCCTATTCTATTCTAATTTTCCATTCCATTCCATATTTTCTATTCTATTCTATTTTCCATTCCATTCCATTCCATATTTTCTATTCTATTCTATTCTATTCCATTCTATTCCATTCCTTTCCATATTTTCTATTCTATTCTATTCTATTCTATTCTATTCTATTCTATTCTATTCTATTCTATTCTATTCCATTCTATTCCATTCCATTCCATATATTCTACTGTACTCTATTCCATTCTGTTCCATTCCCTATTCTGTTCCATCCTGTCCTCTTCTGTTCCACTCAGCTCTTCTCCACTCCATATTCCATCCATTTCCATTTGATTATCAGGTGGCATTTTCTGGGTAGAATGTACTTGGTAGAATACAAAATTAGGCAAAAAGTACACAATTTCTAAGAGCAAAAGGATCTAGAAAGGTCACAGGATTTTTTTAAAAAGTGGAGATTTGTTTTACATTTGGTTCTCATCCTTTCCTAAACAAATGTCAGCTATTTTGAAATGTGGAACTATTTGGAGAAGGGGGACAGCACATGCATTTGATCCATGAATGGCCTGCTGAAGTTCCATTCCAAAAGCAGACAAGGAGACAAGGATTTTTTTAAAAAAACGAGGACTGCCTATATGTTGTGGCTCTATATTAAGCTCTGTCCTCCGAAGCCGCAGTCTTGTCTGCAACTGCTGAATTGAAACTGAAACTGCTGTTCTCTCCTCTGCTTGTGTTTTGCCTATAACTGCTAGCACATTGGAAGAATCTGCTGTTGGTCTTGTACATTTACTTCACGTGTTATTATGTACATAAAGAAGTTCATGAATCCTGCTGAATAAGTCATCTGTGTGTGCTTTCTGGATCTGAATTTCTGCTGCAAAATCTAACACTATACCATCCATTTCTCCTATGGATTCTAATTCCAACCAATTGAATTTTGGGAGACTAATTTGGAGTAGCTGCTTGGCTAATTAACTCTTGACTCAGTCTCACTTCCTATCCTCTTTGGTGTCGATGATGTCGATTCTTTCCAGGAACCAGGCTGAATTGCTTCCCGAGTCGTCATGGCGAATTCTCAGTTTCTTCAGTTCTCCCAAGTCGATGGCTTGGACAGTGAATACATCTACCTGCAACAGCACAAGGCAGAGAGGATCACAATCTTGTAGTTTGTGTTCTGAGACTAAAATCGAGGCTGGTGGGTGGTTTAGAAATAGAAGAGAGAGAGGAAGACAGAGAGAGACGGAGAGGGAGAGAGAAAGAAATGAAATAATGGATGGATAGAGAGAGAGAGAGAGAGGAGAGATACAGAAGGTTAGATAGATGATAGACAGACAGACAGATAGACAGACAGATGATACAGAGAGAGAGAAGAAAGACAGATGGATAGATGAGAGACAGAGAGACAGAGAGACAGACAGACAGACAGACATTGAGAGAGATGGAATACAGACAGATATTGAGAGATGATAGACATATAGATGATAGAGAGATAGAAAGATAGAGAGATAGAGAGACAGACACATACAGACAGAAATGAAATTATGCACAGATGGATGAGAGGGGGGTGATTGAGATGATAGCTAGATGTTGGCTAGATGGCTAGATGGTTAGATGGATAGATAGATGGATAGATAGATAGATAGATAGATAGATAGATAGATAGATAGATAGATAGAGACAGAGAACAGAGACAGAGAGACAGTCAGACAGTCAGACACAGACAGACATGAAATTATGGATGGATGGAAAGAGAGATGACAGAGATAGATAGATAGATAGATAGATAGATAGATAGATAGATAGATAGATAGATAGATAGATAGATATAGACAGACACAGACAGAGAAACACACACAGAGAGAGACATGAAATTATGGATGGATGGAGAGAGGACACACGATTGATAGATGATAGATAGACAGACAGACAGAAATGGAATTATGGACAGACAGATGGACAGAAAAGGAGGCCAGGGGCGACGCACGCAAGTGAGGTTAGTCAGTGGATGATGTCCCCCGAAAATAAGACTTGGTGCCTTTTTTGGTGGCAAAAAAATATATAAGACGGGTCTTATTTTTGGGAAAACACGACATATGGAGCAAATCCTTTGGAGTTCTGTTATTTGGCTACTTACCTGTTTCTTTTCAAACTTGTTCAGATTATTCGAGTACTTCAAATGACGTTCCCCAGTGTCTCCCCTTTCACCATAGATGCTCAGGTAAACATTGGCATCAGTACCAGCTCCCCATATCATTCCAGTTATAACATGGGCTTCGTAGGTGTTTGCTAGAGAAAAAGTAAATTATGAATATGTCAATCAAATGGTCTTCAGACATTTTTTGGGGGCTGAAAATCTGCTTTCTTTCACTACAAACCAATATAACAAGCTGAGCCCTTTTCTGAGAAGCGAGTTCAGTTCACTATTACTTTACTCTTAATTTCTGAGGCTGCCTTCTTTGCCTGAAACCAAATTAGGCTATGGCTAAGTAGAACAGTTGGATCAAGGCTGTTCAGTATCTTTTTCTCTCCAGTTCCTTTTCTCCAGCTCAAAAGGGTTTGTTGTGAAGGGTGGCTTTGTTAGGAACTTCTTAAGGCTCATGTTCCACTGTGATCCTAAGCTTGACTCCAGGAGCACACTTTTCCTCCTTTTTCTACATTGACCTGTCTGTTATGACCAAGGCTTCTGGAGACCATAATTAAGCACACGCTTAGTTCAAACAATTCTTGTTTTATTTCAATGCTGGGAACTCCCAGCCCGTAATGAATCTCAAACAGTTGCTCGAGATAAGCACCCACCTTTATCTCCTTTGAATTGGTGCCAACAACTAAAGTGCCAAATTAACTGTAAAAAGCCAAATGAGTACAAAGTCCACACAGAGCTTCAAGGTTTAATCTGAATAGAGCGAACGACTTTGCTTCCTGCAAAGGTTTCTCTACCTTTGCACTTTTTTTATATCTATTATTAATAGCAATCACTCCTGAGTTGCCCCTTTTGTCTTAGCTGTTCTGCCTTCTGGCAGCTCTGTGCATACCCACACTGGGAACAGGCTCCCCTTGTTCCTCTGCCTCACTGCTGCCAGACTCTGGAGGCTCCGGAGTCAGCACACAACTCCCCAATGATCCTGGCCCCATCTCTGCATCAGACGCCTGACCCTCGTCTGAGTCCTCCTCAGACTCCCTGTGGTCCCCATTCTTCCTCACTGTCTGATTCCGCTGCCATCTGACAACACTGTCCACCTAATCACTACAAGCATCCAGAGAACATCACGTCAAGCACAAGAATTCAGGAACTGGGGTTGTTCAAATGAATAAATGTCTGTTCCAAGCTACCTCTAAACAAGAATCTGAACAATTCACTGTCTGAACAACTAACAGTCAAGGCAAACTGATGATAGATGAGAGTCAGCAGAAGTCTGGACTTAGATATCTTGTGGGCATGAAGGGAGGGATGACAAGCTTGACCCACGGTTGTCCAATCTCTTCTTTAAAACCTCAAGTGATGGAGCACCCAGAACTTCCGAAGGCCAGCTGCTCCACTGACTAATGGTTCATTCCGGATAGAATGGCCACATCAAGTAGGGCATTCACTGGAGAAACCAACCTATGTTGAGAAGAGTTAGCAGTAAAAGGAAACCAGGTCACCAAAGAACATGGTGGCTGGACACCATCAAAGCTGGACCCAGTCAGCTGAAAGAACAATTCAAAGAAATAGTGCAAGATCGGAAGATGCGGAGGGGCCTATGTCAGAGTATATTCATGAACAGAGCATGGTAACAAGATCAGCCAATGAATAGGTATAGCAACTAAGCCAGCCAATGGGGACTGTTTGGAACCTGAAACTAGAAGTAGCCTAGGCTGGAAACTGAAACTAGAAGTAGCCTAGGCGTGGCTCATTATTAAGCTCTGCATCTCTGAAGTCTGTCTATTGAAAATGAAACTGCTTCTTGCTTGCTTGCCTGCTGAACTAAAGTGAAACTGGTGTCTGTTTCTGTTGTTTCTGTTCTCTGGGCTACTGAAGTTACTTGCGACATGTTTCTGTCTGAGTTTGTTCCATGTTGGAGAAATCTGCAACTGGTTTGTAAAATCTACTTATTATGTTTATAAAGATGTTAAATGAAGCATCAGCCATCTGTGTTTATTTTTCTGGCGCTAAATTAACACTGCAAAACTCGGAATAACCTGGTCCATACAGTTGCCAGGAGTTGGACATGAATGAATGTACAACAACATTATCATTACAGAATAGAATAGAATGGAATAGAATAGAATAGAATAGAATAGAATAGAATAGAATAGAATAGAATAGAATAGAATAGAATAGAATAGAGTAGAGTAGAGTAGAGTAGAGTAGAATAGAATAGAATAGAATAGAATAGAATAGAATAGAAAACGGAATGGAATGGAATAGAACAGAACAGAACAGAACAGAATAGAATTCTTTATTGGCCATGTGTGATTGGACACATAAGGAATTTGTCTTGGTGCAAATGCTCTCGGGTATATAAAAAGAAAAGATACATTCGTCAAGAGTCAAGAATCATAAGGTACAACACTTAATAATAATTATTTGTAGGATACAAATAAGCAATCAAATCATACTAGGAAACAGTCAATATAAATCGTAAGGATACAAGCGACAAAATTACAGCCATACAGTCACAAGTGGATGGAGATGGCTTGGGAAGATTAATAGTAATAGTAATGCAGACGTAGTAAATATTTGGACAGTGTTGAGGGAATTATTTGTTTAGCAGAGTGATGGTGTTCAGGAATAAAACTGTCCTTGTGTCTAGTTGTTGTGATGTGCAGTGCTCGATACTGTCGTTTTAAGGGTAGCAGTTGAAACAGTTTATGTCCAGGATGCGAGGGGTCTGTAAATATTTTCACAGCCCTCTTTTTGACTCGTGCAGTATACAGGTCCTCCATGGAAGGCAGGTTGGTTGCAATTGTTTTTTCTGCAGTTCTAATTATCCTTTGAATTCTGTGTCTCTCTTGTTGGGTTGCAGAACCAATAATAATAATAATTATCATCATTGTAATAACAATTACCACTGTCAGTCATAAAAAAAGATGTTGAGACTCTGGAAAGAGTGCAGAGGAGAGCAACAAAGACAATTAGGGGACTGGAGGCTAAAATATATAAAGAACAGTTGCTGGAATTGGGTATGACTAGTCTGATGAAAAAAAAGGACTTGGGGTGACATGATGGCAGTCTTCTAATATCTCAGGGGTTGCCACAAAGAAGAGGGACTCAAGCTATTCTTCAAGGCACCTGAAGGTAGGATAACAAGCAATGGATGGAAACTAATCAAGGAGAGAAGCAACCTAGGAGAAATTTCCTGACAGTCAGAACAATTAATCAGTGGAACAACTTGCCTCCAGAAGTTGTGAATGCTCCAACACTGGAAGTTTTTAAGAAGAGGTTGGATGACCATTTGTCTGAAATGGTATAGGGCTTCCTGCCTGAACAGAGGGTTAGACTAGAAGACCTCCAAGGTCCCTTCCAACTCTGTGATTCTGTTGTCACCATCGTCACCATCAACCACCCTTTTGCCCCTTAATCCCATCCGAACACCAACAAAGGATCCATTTTTTTCTTTGCCCCCCTCTCCATAGGCGTTGGAGGACCACAAAAGAGATACAGGCAGGTCATATATTTTGTACCACAACCCTAAAGGAATCTTCCCTAGCATGGTGATTTCCAAATGTGTTCAATTTCCGTTGTCCGAATTGAATAACACCAGGTTAAAAAACACTTCCCTAAAGTTGGTTATGCTAGTGCATGATCATAAAACCACAGATGATGATGATTCCCCCTTCACCTTCAAGCTCAGATCCCTCTTCTGGTGTCAACTCCACCACCAGTTCCTTGTCCTCTTCGTCCCTTGCCAGCCAACGATGGGCTACAAAGTTATAAACCTCCATAGGATCTGGTTGGTTCGTCTCTTCTTCCCCTTTCTCTTCTGTGGGTTTCTTTTTCTTCTTTTTCTTCTTCTTGTCTTGCCCGTTGATCTTCGTCACCATTTTTTTAATGACAACATTTTCCAGGAACCATCCATCTGCCAAGCCTGTCCCATCGTGGCCAATTCGGATCTTATAGATTCTGCCAACATCGACAGCTTCTATCTTGAATAGGAATAATAAATGGGAGCAGTAAAATAGCGTTTCAGTTTTGTTTTTGTTTTTTTTTAAAAAAGAGTGTTGTGCACCACTAACTCATTAATCCTGATAATAATACAGAATTTTTTACTTTATAGCGCAAATTACTGAGTTGAAAGGAGGTTTGAGGTATGGCTGCTGCCTATTAATGAATTTGTGGCTAAGACAAGTTTGGAACACAAGGTTTTCTCACGCTGCCTGGTTACCAAAAAGCCTCTAAACTAATTCTGATTTGTTTTCAAAGAGATGCTTCAGAAAATACAAGGGACAAAAATTTGCATCTACCCATGTTCCCCAAGAAACAAGACCTGGTGTAATATTAATTTTTGCTCCAAAAGAGGCATTAGAGTTTATTTTCCAGTTAGGTCTTATTTTGGGGAAATACGGTACTAAATGTGTTTGTCTGGCTGATGATCTTAACTGGGGCTTATTTTGGGGGTAGAGCTTATATTACGAGCATCCTGAAAAATCATGCTAGGGCTAATTTTCCGGTTGGGTCTTATTTTCTGGGAAACTGTTAGGAATAACAAGGGTACCTAACGTAGTTTGGGTAAAATAATATATATAAACTATGATTGTAAGTTTAAGTGTGTGTCACTTTAAATTGCAAAGCATGTAATTTTGGGTGCGGTGTTGAACCGCCATAAGAGGGAGCAAGAGAACCTGCTTGATTGCTGACGATTCCCTGACGATTGACTGGTTTGATGAATTGATGGTTTGTTAACTGCGTGTTTTCCCTACTGCTGAGTTGCTGAAGGAAGAGAGGAGTTTTTGACTTCTTCATATCTCTACTGCGAGGAGATATATTCCTGGACTGATATTTGTAAGTTTACTGACCTCTCTTTTTCGACACTGGAATTTGCAACTGAATAATCCCTAGATGGACTGAATTAGTGAATGATATATGGACTGTTTGACTATGCTATAACTCTTACTGGAATAAACTATTTAACTAGCACTGTGTATCTGTTTTACTGAGTGTAAGCTACAAAAACGTTTATCTCACATATTTTGCCTGACTGCCTGACTGCCGTGCAGATTCTGCTAGGGTGTATCCCTAACAGAAACACAGTTATCTGCAACCTCCTAAAACAGCTGCTTTAAGTGAAGTTGAATTTTATTACAGTAGTCCTCAACTTATGACTGCAACCAGGCCCAAAATTTCAGTTGCTAAGCAAGACAGTTGGTAAGTGAATTTTGCCCCATTTTACAACCTTACTTGCCACAGTTGTTACATGAATCCCTGCAGTTTTTACGTCTATAACAGGGTAGCTAAGTGAAGCTGGCTTCCCCATTGACTTTGCTTGACAGGTTGGAAAAGATGATTACATGACTTCAGGACACCAGAACCATCAGAAATACATGCTAGTTGCACGTAATTTAATGATGTGACCATGGGGATGTGGCAACGGTTATGTGAAAAATGATCACAAGTCACTTGTTTTCAATGCTGTTGTAACTTTAAACAGTCACTAATTGAATGGCTGTAAGTCAAGGACTATCCCTAGTCAATAGCAAGCACCCTATACCTGACCTTAAGTTGTATGGGAACCTGAAGGATTTCTTCTTTGGTTAATATTGACATTTTCCAAGCAGGATCATGCACATTTAATTTTGGTGTAATATGGTAACTATAAATCTGGAGAAAAGAAGCATAATTCTATGGTGGAATTCATCCTCTAAATGTACCCCTACTGGCATCCCCGTGTCAACTCTGAAGCTGGCTTGACTGAAGCCATCTTGGAGACTTTAGTGTTGCCACAATAGTACCGAGGAATAGGGAGTGGGGAAAGAGATAGCTGAGGTTTTGTAGCCAAAACAAAATCATTTCCCCTGGGAACCAAGGACATTCCGACAGGTGGCTAAAAAGAGGAGAAGTGAAGTTCCAAGCAACTAGAGAGCACCTTGATTGGACCATGTGACTGATTGTTTGAAAAAGGGGAAAACTTTTAATTAGGTGAAAGCCGTGGGAACCTTTTCAGTCAGTGTTCACCAGTTTGTGCCAATATGATATGTTCATTAAACCTGTTCTTTGAGGAACCTGCTAGCCTTGGAGTTCTGCTTGGTATGGGCATATTACTTGGAACTCTGACATTCTGTTTAGCTTGGTGCATGGCTTGGTGGGCATGGCAGGGGAAGGTTACTACAAAATTGCATTCTCTCCCCACTCCACTAACCTGCTTTCCAGCTCCGTTCTCCTGTGCAGGGCAACCAAAGAAGACCCAGCCGATTAGCTGGGACTCAATGGGAGGCAGAGAATAGATGGGGGCGGGGCCAGTCAGAGGTGGGATTTGCCAGTTCTCTGAACTGCTCAAAATGTCTGCTAACGGTTCTCCAGAACTGGTCAGAACCTGCTGAATACCACCTCTGGTCTATTTACTGGTCTTACAAGGACTCAAAGCCACAGGGTCCAACTTCTTACTCAATGCAGGAGTCCAAATTGAAGCATCTCCAACAGTCTAGCTTCCAGAGGCACATATATAATGAAAGAAAACCATCATCTTACAGGGTAATTACTTCCATTTTCCACGTACTTTTACTGTTAGGAATTTTTTGCAATATTGGAAAAATATTTGGAGTTCTACAGGTAGTCCTTGACTTACAACAGTTCATTTAGTAACCATTCAAAGTTACAGCAGCACTGAAAAAAGTGACTTGTGATTGTTGTTCACACTCACAACCATTGCAGCATCCCCCTGACCATGTGGATCAAAATTCAGATGCTTAGCAACAGTCTCATATTTATGATGGTAGCAATGTCCCGGAGTCCCTGCCTTTTACCACTTTCTGATAAGCAAAGTGTTAAGAATTCTGTTTATACAAAGCAGCACTCAGAGCTAACAATGAATACAGTCACCATGTGCTTTACTGCTCAACTGTATAACTGTAATAGGAAACAGGAAACTTAGAATAAAAGAGCATAGAATATATATCATCGACACAAACTTGTAAACACTGCCATCTACTGGCTAAATACTACTCTAGTTGTTGCATAGAAATGCATTCCAACAATGAATTCCAACACAAAGTCAGTGGGAAAGCCAGACTCACTTAACAACCATGTTGCTAACTGAACAACTGCAGTGATTCACTTAACAACTGTGGCAAGAAAGGTTATCAAATGGGGGCAAATCTCATTTACCAAATGTCTCACTCTGCAACAAAAAAAATCGGGCTCAATTGTGATCGTAAGTCGAGGACTATCTGTACTTAAGTACCTTGTTCAGTGGGTTGTACCCTGGATTGACCTTCTATGTGATCTTCTCCAAACCTGGCAACTTTAAGTGATTTTATATATTTTATACATGGTCCAAGACAATTCCTCTTCACTCGGTGTGGTCCAGGCAACCCAAAAGATTGGGCACTCATCATTTAGTTTGTAATGGACAACAAACACAGGCAAAGACAATGTCAAAGGAACAGATTTCTGAAGATATTGTACCTAATCTCCAAGCCTTGTGGCAATTCCAATGTTTTCTTTCTCAGAATCTTTGTGAGTGGATATTAGAATTCCCTCCTGATCCTATTGACAGCATACCTTGAATTTTTCCACGGCTCCCCGTTCATGGTTGTTGGACCTGTTCTTCAAAATCAGTACCTCCGTTTTACCCAGCTCACCATAAACCTGCAGAAAGACTTTTGCGTTGGTTCCTGCGTTCCGTACATCTCCGGTAACGGTGCATATCTCGTAGTTGATCACTTGTTTAAAGCAGAAGAGAGAGAAACGAAGCAGAGAATAATTAAAATGGTGTGCAGAAATCCAGAGCCCGAGTTCAATGACTTGCAGTCAGGTCTTTACACAATTATAAGGGTTTCTATCTCCCACCCCTCCCTTCTCTCCTTGCTTTATGCACCCCTTAATTTTTCTAGTTTATTCAGAGAAAAGAGCAGAAGAAAAGTTAACATCCAAAATCGAAAAAATGCTCTGGAGTTTGCAGGGATTCCAACCCCAGCATCTTCTGTCTATAAGAGACGACCAGGCCAAGCCAGAAGGAGGTGTCAAACGTGTCATTAGTCTTGAGTGCCTTCGTGCCTATCTAAGTCCATCCCACCTTGAATTCCGTTGACTCTTATCTACCGCCAATTTGCTTTCACCATTAGTAGTTCAGATTCTTGTAAAGAGCATTAGCATACAATAAAACAGGGGTGTCAAACTCAAGGCCTGTGGGCTGGATCTGGCCCATGGGGTGCTTAAATCTGGCCCACGGGGTCACCCTGGAAATAGTGAAGGACTAGCCCATGGTGCTTCTGCCAGTGAAAATGGAACTCAGGAGGGCCATGTGCAGGAGGGAAAATCTGTGTAACAACTAGAGAATTTCTTATTGGAGTTGTTTTAAAAAAAAAAAAAATACCCGAAACCCAGTGACACAGAAAAATATTTAATTGCATCTCATAATAATTCAGGCATATTTATCTTTTGGAGGAACAAGCAACAAAGACTTTGGTTTTTGAAACATCCACCTGGCAGGGATTAATTCATCAAATTTCTCCTCAAGCTTTCCTTTCGTTCACTTCTTATTTCTATAGCAGTTATTCTAGATGACCTTGAGAAAACTAAGTAGGATTAATATTTGGATGGGATGTTTTTTCTTCTTTTCTTTTTATTCTTATTCAAAACATTAAAATACAAACTCCAAAAGAAAAAAAGGAAAGGAAATAAAATAAAAAGCAAAACAACTAGACAAGACACAGAAAGAAAAATGTGCATAAAAACATACATATATATTACTCTGTGTGTGTGTGTGTGTGTGTGTGTGTGTGTGTGTGTGTGTGTGTGTGTATATATTTTTCTTAAGTTTTCGCGGGTACTTACATGTATGGCATTCAGCTTTGTTCGGGTATTTTTCCATGTCATTGTAGTTGTGCTTTTAAAGTTGTAGCGACGTTTCAGCAGAATCTCATATGCCATCATCATATATATATATATATATATATTCCCACCTAATTTAATACTGATAAATATATTTCAAAAACAATAATTCTGCCCCTCCCCTTGTGAAGCAGGCACACACAATTTACAAATAGAATCCTAAGGCAAGGTTTTATTATTAAGAGCCAAAGGAGGGTATTTGACCTGGATGGAATCAAAGATGATTGTAGTATTTTGGAGTTGATAAGAAACCATTGTAGTTTTTCTACAAGTAAAATACAATAACAGATTGTCTTGAACTTTTACTTTGCTGTTATTTAACGTGTTAACTATTTTTTTCTTCATATATAGAATGTATGACAGCTCAAATTGGATTGCAAATAGATGTAGAAGCTTATGAATTTTGGACCTGTTTTCCAAGGGGGAAGGGGGAAGTTATTATTATTTTCATTTGCATTTGTTTATTGTTCTTATCTAGTTTTGTATTTTTTGTTAATTTTTTTTATTCACATTTTTAATGTTCTTGTTTAGTTTTGCTTTGCTTCTGTTCATTGCACCCCCCTGCTTTGGTATTTTAATCTTTTGAATAAAATAAACATTAAAAAAAAACCTTTTAATCCTAAAGTATTCTGATTTTAATGTTTAATTGCATTGGTGTTATTGTACACCACCCAGAGCCTCTCTCTGAGGAAGATGGCAGGTTAAGAAATATGAAATATAGAATAAATAAGAATGGATGGAGAGAGGGAGAGAGAGACAGAGAGAGATAGAGAGAGATGGAGAGAGATGGAGAGAGATGGAGAGATAGATAGATACAAGTAGATAGATATAGAGATGATAGAGAGACTAGATAGATGGAAGATTGGATGGGTGGATGGATAGATGGATGGATAGATGGATGGATGGATGGATGGATGGATGGATGCACAGATGGATGGAGATGGAGATGGATAGAGGTAGAGATAGAGATGATAGAGAGACTAGATAAATGGAAGATTGGATGGGTGGATGGAAGATAGATAGATAGATAGATAGATAGATAGATAGATAGATAGATAGATAGATAGATAGAGATGGATAGAGGTAGAGATAGAGATGATAGAGAGACTAGATAGATGGAAGATTGGATGGGTGGATGGAGATAGATAGATAGATAGATAGATAGATAGATAGATAGATAGATAGA